ATCACAATCCAGCAACACTGAACCTGGAAAAACCAAATCTCTAAATCACCATCACCATCATGCCGCGATACCAACCATGACACTTCGAAGGCACGAAACGTTGACGTCCACAATGACCAAACCCGATACAATAACATTCCATTCATAAATCACAAAATCGAACCTCAACTACTATCGAATTTTGCCACCCTCTGACAACAATGCACTAAGAATCACAATTCAAGGATAGTTGAGGACCGATTGTGTCACCTGAGAATAGAGTTAGCAAAAACAACACTCACACGCATCTTGTTAACATAAACCAATCCATAAATGTTCCATGTAGCTTAGTCCCAAAACAACAAATGCTTACATATGAGCAAGAACAAATGATGAAGAATTTTTACTTCCTTGCAAGTGCACGAATTGCTATCGCAGTATAGTGTGCAAAAGCAAGGGCGATCCCACAGAGATTTGTAAGTTATCAAGTAATCCTAATAAGCCTTAATTAAAACAAATAAATTCAATCAAATTAAAGAACTAGTGATTAAAACTAAGTGTAAAAAGAAACTAAAAATTAACCACTACTAACTGAGCCAAAATAACACCAATAAAAACTAATTTAAGAACCGATTAATCAACTACAACCTAGGTATCCAATTTCACCATAATAATCTGGTTTTAGGCCAACTATCAAACTATTGTTATCACAATCCAATTTCTAGGGTTCGCACTCACATAATTAAGGTATTACCGTAAGACATTCGGGATTAACCTAGTATCTTTAACACGAGACTAGCGAGGGCGTATAGTTTAGCCTAATGATTAAAAACCTATTAAACACAAGAGCACTTGAAATCATGAATAAAGGCGCATCTGTCAGGGCGTATGCACAAATACTAATTATTCAAGAAATCATGAACCAATTAGCATTCTGTCAAAGCGTATGCACAAATACTAATCATTCAAGAAATCATGAACCAATTAGCATTCTGTTAGAGCGTATGCACAAAATACTAATCATTCATTCACAAAAGCTATTCAAGATTAGCTAGGATGAGTCGTCTAACCTTATCTCACACAATCAATTAATTAACATTAAAGGTGATCAAGCAATAACATCAATTAAAGATTGAATAAAGGATAATGAATAAAACTAGAATTGCAATGGATTGATAAGACAAATAGAATTAATAAAGACATAAAACATTCTTATTAGGCTACATTGGATCCCTAGAAAAGTATTTGGTTAGACATGAGCATAAGGAAATCAAACCTTAAAATCTTGAAAACCATGAAGTACAAGAAGAAGAAGATGAAACCCTAGGTAAGATCTCCTTTCCTTGCCTCTTCCTAATTATATTTGCTATCATAAACCCTAGCCCCCTAAAATATTGCCAAGGACATTTATTTATAATATTAAAATCTTGAGGGTATTATGATAAAAAGTTATACTTCAATTAAAAATGCATAATAACAAATATGCACATCTCCAAGCACTAACGTAACTTTCGTCTCTATTTTTAATCATATTCCATGTAGAATTGGGCCATGATCAAACATAAAATTGTAACTATGTCTCTTAGCTTTAAAATGCTAGCAAAACCAGGTCAATTGGAGTTGTGTAGCTCAAGTTATGATCATTTTCATGCAGCATGTTCTGGCAAAAAAATTTCTAAACATAAATTTCCTGCATTGCACTGCTGCATGATTTTGTGGCGCCGCGGCATGAAGTTTTTGTCCATTTTACAACTTTTTTATGCTGCGGCATGGGAATAGTTCCATTGCGGCATGGGAATAGTTCTGTTGCAGTGAACAATCTTCAAAAATCCATAACTTCTTTGTTTGAGCTCCGATTCTCGAACCGTTTGTTCCTACATGGTTATGATTCTTTCATCTTCAATGCCTATGCTTGAAATCCTCATTTTTAGAACCTAAACACCTAAAAATTCACAAAACATACCTATGATTCTAGAAAACAAAAAAGATACATAAATTAAGTAAAATTAACCAATTAAACCTAATTCCCTCACAAAATACCCTTAAAATCACTAAGTATGAGTGCACTTCCAAGCACTCATCAACAAACAGATAGCATGGTCGAAAAAACAATTCGTAATCTTTAGACAAAGTACAAACCATGAACATTTAATGCTACTCAGCATCAACAATACGAGGAAAAACTAATTGCCCGTCACATGAACATACCAACAACAAATACTCATTGTTAGGCCAAAATTGTAAGCTGAAAAATAAAATCAGCAAACATCAGTGAGCATATAATTCACGCTAATCGATTGCAACCACAGACATACCAAACCAATGAACTTACCGAATTCTTAATAAACACAACTTGGTACGAAACATGCTGGACATTGTATAAACACGTCAACTTTTTTCCTTGCAACCTGAAAATGAAATCAACAAAATCAACAAATTCACATTTTATACCGATCGATCGGCAAAAGAGATGCACTGAATCAATGACTCTACCAAAAAAATAATAAACACCAATCCTCATTTCCTTGAAAACAAACATAACAAAATGTAATCGATCTTCATGTTAACATTGTTAAGGAACAATTATCCATTTGTATAAAAACTAGTACCTAAAAAACAGAGACAACAAAAGTTAATAATATTCATGTTAAAATTATCAAGGAACACACTTACCGTTCGGAAGGAATAACACAATCAATCATTCAAATAAATTGGTCGAACAAAAACAATCATTAAATCGAACAAAAAACGTTAAAATAGTTGGGAGACATACTTATAGTTTCGCATTAAAATACCTAGAAGATATACTTTCAGTTCAAAGGAACAAATTAAAATAACAACTCATCTGACAATATCAATCCGACGTCCTGCCTTTATTCCATGCCAATTCATGAATCTCCAACCCGTAATAAACAACAAAAACATACATAAATAAAAAACCGTCGATCAAGATGCACGTGAAGAACATACATATTATTTTTACAAACTAAAATAACATATAAACAATTAACAAAAGACCAAACATATTGTTGACGCCAACTAACAAATTGAGATAATACACAACTGAACATGAGCCCCTTTTATAACCCCTTATTTAGACCTTTCGAATACCAACGCAATTAAATACGATTTCAATACGAAGAAAGTTTTCCAATGTCAATACAATGCACCTATATAATTATAGATATCAATCCTAGACAAATGTCATTAAACCACAATTAGTAATAGCAATCCAATACACATGTATACTTGTTATTAATGCACATCTTTGGAATGTCAATGCAATGCACTTGTATACTTGTTATTAATGCACATCTTTGGAATGTCAATACAATGCACCTGTATTATTATTATTATTATTATTATTATTATTATTATTATTATTATTATTATTATTATTACATATCTCATTTTTTTAATTAATTAATAATTATAGATGCATCAATAAATACCAATCCAACGTGTCAAGATAGAGCAATTTGATTGGTTTGTCAATCTAATGTGTCAAAATTGAGCAATTCTAGAGCTTCCAAAATGTGCCACATGGTGAGATGTATCAATAAATACCAATCCAACGTGTCAAGATAGAATAATTTGATTGGATTGTTAATCTAATGTGTCAAAATTGAGCAATTCTAGAGCTTTCAAAATGTGTCACATGGCAAACAACCCGCATGACTATTCATGGCGAACAACCAGCATAGGTATTCATGAATCTTAGAGTTAAAAATATCTTATTAGACCACACATCCAACATGGCAAGAGAGAGCAACTCTATAGCGCCAAAATAAACCAATTTTAGAGCTAAAACAAAAAAAAAAAAAAAAGTGTCATACGTGTTAATCAAATATGTATGCTTTTACCTTTGGATTTAGAATACCAATTCAGCAATTAATATCTCTCTACAACATCACTAATAAAATTCAACCACATGGCACCACAAATCCTATGTGTCAAAATGGAACAATTCTATGAGTTCTAAAATATGTTATATGGCGAACAACCCATATGAGTATTTAGCTTTATATATATATATCAATGATAAAATATTCAATGTCATTTAGCTGAAGGTGTTAAAACTTTTGGGAATATTTATTTAGGACTTTTCGGAGAAGTTTAGTGGAGGGAGTATATTTAATTTTCTCCCTGATTATTAGCAACCTACCATGAATCCTTTAATCTCATTTATTTTGAATTACAGAAAATTAATATTACTTCTTTTTGTTTTACTCTTTTGAATCATTTTTCTGTTAATCTATTTGAATTTGTTTACTTATTGGGATAATTATTCTAAAAATAAATCCGTATCAAACAATATTTTTTTTATTGAAAATAAAAAGAGGGAGACTTGTTTTCCATTATCCTATTATATTAAACTCAAAACATTTTTCTAACTCTATTCAACTAAAAACAATTACCTTTCACTCCTCCCAATCTAAAAATTAATCCACCCAAAGCCACCACCGCCTGCCAACAACTGATAAAGGTCGTTTGCCCCAGTCTGGCTATTTTTTGCTAGATCCAACAGTTAATGACGGCTAAATTTTGGCCATCATTGACAATCATATTTTGGCTGTTAACGACAGCTAGATTATGGCCATAGATCTGGTCAAAAAAGGTCAGATCGGTGCACAATCAACTAGATTCAGCCGATCATGCGTTGTTCCGACAACTATTGGATGTTGTCCGACGGTAGTGGCTTGGGTGGGTTGTTGGTATTTTTTTTTTATTTGTTAAACTTTTATTGTGAAGGGTGTTTAGCTAAATTAACAAATGTAAAAGGTTAAAAAATAATTTAAATATTTTCAGAAAATATTTTTACCAAATATTTTTACCAAATAATTTTTCAATATTTATGAAATTATGATATAATTTTCATATATTATATTAAACATATTCTCAAAATCTACTCCTATTCTATTTAATTCAACTCAAAGTAGTTTTTGATAATATCATTTTTCAAATAATCGACTAAACATGCTCAAAATTCATAAAAAATTCTAAAGAGTAAAGACCACAGGAAGAATGTCCTATCCTTCGACTTGTTCACAAAAGATTTTTGTTTCCCTCCAATCCAATTACACAACCTCAATTACCATTTCCCCATCAATCCAATTTCTCCTATCCCCTTCCAGATATATAAACCAACCCAAAATTCAACCAAATCAAAATATCCATTTCTCTTCAATCTTCACTAATCTTAACCCTAATTCTCAATTCTTTCTCTTCTCATGGAACTTTATTCTTCTTCTTCGTCTTATTTATGCAATAGATATATTTCACCTCCCATTCGGTCAACACCTCATCCTCTCTCAATTCCATCCACCACTGTCTCACTCTCCCTCCACAAGAATCCTAATTTCGCCTCTTGCTTTCGCTTGATTCGCCGGAGAAACTCATCTTCCTTTCGTGTTTCTAGCTCCGATACCTTGGTGGCCGGCTCGCACGAAGTTGTCAGCAAGAAAGACGAGGTGTCTGGTGACTTGAAATCTTGGATGCACAAGAATGGATTGCCTCCTTGTAAAGTTGTTCTTAAAGAAAAGCCTTCGCATGATGACAAACACAGGCCTATACATTATGTTGCCGCCAGCGAAGATCTTCAGGTCTGATTCTGTTGATTTTTGATTTTTATAGGTTTCGGTTATTTGAGTTCCAGTTCTGTGATTCTTTTTTTTTCTTGAAGTAGGCCGGTGACGTGGCGTTCTCCGTGCCCAATTCGTTGGTTGTGACGCTTGAGAGAGTGTTGGGGAATGAGACCATTGGTAAGGTTTGTTGTTTATGTTAATATTGGCCCAATAGTACAACATATATATATATATGCTAGTTGTCATTAAATGATTTCTTGGTGTTAAATGCAATGCATTTGCTTTAGATGAACTGAAAAATTGTAGTGAGAGAAGGACACAGTTTACTGATTAGTTGGGAGAATGCAAGTTCAGATTTTGTATATTACAGTAATATTGGGCGTACCAATGTTAGAACTAATTTGCCAGACATGGCTGTAAAGCTAGTATGATGACAATCTTCATAAGCTTCAAATTGATAGGAATAGTAAGACTTGATTCAAGAGTGTAATTTCTTTTGTCGGCTTGGTTTTCATGCAGCGGAGCTATTGACTACTAATAAGTTATCGGAGCTGGCATGCTTAGCTTTGTATCTAATGTATGAGAAGAAGCAAGGGAAAAAGTCATTCTGGTATCCATATATCAGAGAGCTTGATCGACAACGAGGGAGAGGCCAATTAGCTGTGGAATCCCCACTTTTATGGTCAGAAGCTGAATTGGCTTACCTGACAGGTAGCCGCNTTTTTTTTTTCATATTTGGGTGAAGGACGGGCGTCCATTATTTGTGGACGCCCGTCCAAAAATGGACGGCCGTCCATAATGGATGGACGGCCGTCCCTAAGCTTTTACAAATTTTTTTATTTTATTTTAATAGGGACGGGCGTCCATATTATATGGACGGCCGTCCCTTGCATATGGACGCCCGTCCATATAACATGGACGGCCGTCCATAATGGATGGACGGCCGTCCCAAAGCTTTTACAAATTTTTTTATTTTATTTTAATAGGGACGGCCCCTCGCATATGGATGCCTGTCCATATAACATGGATGGGCATCCATGTGAGTGAACGGCCGTCCAAATTTGATGGATAGCCGTTCACTAGGAAAAAATTATAAAGAAATGGAGAAACGCGTTACACATCGGCCGGTACAGAAATTCGGTGCTAATATTTCGGTGTCCGTAGTGTTATTGTTTTTTTTTAAGGGAGGCCTCCGCGGCTCCGTCATTATTTGCTAAACAACTAATAAAAACTTTAAAAAATCACCAAACCTTAAGCAAAGAAAATAATACAATATCAAGAACTTGAGAGAAAAGAATGTAATAACACAATACTTTCCTACTTAAATAAATTCATGAGAAGCAAAATTTTGAGTAAATGTGTTAAGTAAACCTTGAGCAAAACCTTCATTTAATTTTTAACTTTTTTTTTTTAAATTTTTGGCTTTCAAAATTATAATATAAATTTTCATGACTTTAACCAGACCTAACTTAAGCTAAAGTCAACCAAAACTTAAATTAAGTTAACATTACGTTGACTTTTAATATGAAATAATAAAAAAAAGGGAATTTTTTTGATATAAACATAAATAGTAACTCAAATTTCTTTATTTATTTTGAGTAGCAGAATGGTGACATTTGAAATGTAGGAAAGTAGTGGGTAAAGGGTGAAGAATAACGTCTTTTAAAATATAATTAAGGTTTTAATTTGGGAAAACAAGTTCATCCTTAAATACAAAACACAAAATAAACTCACAAGATCTATGTCTTTTCCCCTCAAATTAGAATAAAAAACCTTAAAAAAAAAAAAAAAAGCATTATTCAACCCTAAAATAAACTAAATTGAAATGAGTAATACACATATAAAATAGATAAAATAGAAAACAAAGCTAATTGTGACATTTTGAGTAGTAAAAGTTTCAATAATTTTGGTCTTTAAAAGTTTTAAGATTGAATAGCATGAGGAAGAGAATGAGAGAGTAAATAATTTTGGGGATAAAATTATAAAAAGCAGGTGGAGCCGGAAGAAGAGTAGAAAGAATTTTAAACTTTTAATATGATGTGAGCTTGAAATATATATATTAATAACAAGTTTTTTATGGGCTTAGATATATGTATAATAATTCTCATTTTTTTAAAATCCGAGAGTGGACATGGGTATATATATTAATAGCAATTTTTGTAAGTCTATATATTAATAATGCCTACCCTCAAAGGGGTTGGATCCGCCCCTAATTAAACCACACATCCAACGTGGCAAAAGAGAGCAATTCTAGAGCTCCAAAATAAACCAATTTTAGAGCTAAAAGGAAAAAAGAAAAGAAAAGAAAAAAGTATCATACGTGTCACTCAAGTAGGTATGCTTTTACTTTCGGATTTGGAATACCAATTTAGCAATTAATATTTCTCTACAACACCACTAATAAAATTCAACCACATAATAACCACAAATCCTATGTGTCAAAATAGAGCAATTCTATGAGTTTTAAAATGTGCCACATAACGAACAATCTGCATGGGTATTCAGCTATATATATATATATATATATATATTAGTTTGGAAATTTTTAAGTTCACTAAAAATTAACAATGGGTCTGAAAGGATATTCAGGATAAGATGTTTCAAGAGAAGAAAGTTGAGAGTTGAAACCATTGGATCCAATTATCCGGACAAGTGTGGTTAATTTTATAATTTTTTTTTAAATCAGTGTTTCTAATTCTTAAGGAGGGTGGGCAAGTGAATTAAAAAAAAAAAAACATTGGCATAATCCTGTTTGGGGGTGCCTTTCTTTCCATGTGAGTTTACTTAATTAATTGTATTTTCAAAATTATTAAATTTTTGTTTTCATCATAACATAATTTAATTGATTCCCATACCATAAGCTTCCACCTTGTTTCTTCGCTTAATTGCTTCATTCACCCTCGAACACCTCAAAAATTATAACCTTACAAATAATAATATAATGATCACACTACAATCCCACATCCTAATTTGGGACGCCCCGGTGTCTTAAATTATTATTAATTATAATAAAAAAATGTAAAATATAATAATACACAGGTATACAACCATAAAACTTCTGTCCACACATAAATAACTCTGAAAACTTTAAAATATCTGCCACACATAGACTAGGCATTCGGGATCGGGCCTAAAAGCCCAGTTAGAAAACACCGGTCCTAGGATCGGACCTAGACCAGGCCTAAGGAGGAGGCCCGGGCCCTCTATTAGGCCCTCTTCCAAGCCGGGCCTGGGATCGGTCCCAGGCCTGGGCCCAAAAAAATTGTATTTTTTTCAATATAGTCCCCCTGCCAAATTACTAAAAACGCCCTATTAATTTGAAAATAATATAATTAAGAGGGCTAAAATAACATTTTACAAAATTTATAAAAAAAAAATCTTCTAGATCTAAAAAATTTATAAATTTAACCCCTAAAAAATACTAAAAACCCCCCATAAAAATTTCATTTTGTTCTCAAATGTAAAAAAATTGAGGGGGGAAAAATAATTATCCAAGCCCCATTGGACTGGTCCTAGGATCGGTCTTGAGCCCATAGGACCAATCCCTATCAGGCCTAAGGTCTGGTCTGGTCTTAATTTTTCTCATGGGCCTGGAGCCGGTCCCAACCCATGAGTGACTGATCCCATTTGAGACCAGTCCCAAACGGGCCCAGGCCCTGGGCCTGCTTGGAACGTGGTCCCTGTCCACCGGCAACACATACGATGTCACCATTTCTTAAGTTTGTGGCAACGTCAAGATATTTGCACCACAGTCCAGTCCATTTAATAGGATTGCCATTCTTGACATATTTTAAATTCATATTCTACTGCCCAGCCCATCAGATCTTTAACGACCCAACAAAGAGCGAGCCCGATCTCCGAAAGTTGGGCTGGGACAGTGGCTACTAGGATCGCTTTTTATGGGTCCAGTTTGGATGACTGGACATGCATTTCATCAGTATGATCCAAGGATAAGTGATGTTAAAGGTGACTACTGTACAGCTATTAATTTATTTTATGTAATGCCCCTGCCCCTAAGGGACATAACATTTGGGTTTTAGATGTAATAGGTTATGACAACCTGTGGTCCTCTAACTCCAATCAAATCATCAAACTGGCCTAAAATAATAACAACGACATATATATAAATTTAATATAAATGCCTAAATTACCACAACGTGGTCCAAAATCTAAAAAATTTATAGCTGAAATTTGTGCCTATGTGGACATTACACTGCTTTGCTTTGGACCATGCCTCCCCACTAGTAAATACAATGTCCTAATTCTGGAGAATATTTAATTTCTTTAAATATTCAAATATTATTCACCTGCTGGCAAATAATCAACCACACGTACGCTTGTTCGTACAAAATCTCTTCGAGAAGAAAATTATCAAGGAGAATTAAGTTTGAGTTACATTAAAATATTTATACATTATAACGGAACCATTAATTTGTTACAGATAATGTATTAATAATCCAAAAAAAAAAAAAAAAAATCTTAGTTGTATTAATTAGAGAAAAAAAGATTAGATATGTTTGGTAAGACAGCGGTATAAGATGTTGACATGGGTGGATCCAAATGGCTAAATTTATGATTAACCAACTACTGTTCTGACTAAAATCTCTCATATTGATCCCAAAGTCTTCTCCAATTCTAATGCATGCTGAAATTAATGCATTAAGTAATTAAACCCCATTATTACCAATAACTATTAATTAATCGGATAATTAATTAATTAATTATAAAGGTAAAGGAACTATTCATATTCATGCATGCTAGCTAGATATTTGCTAATCCCATAACCTCAACTAACATGTGGCGCTCTTCCTTTCTCTATTTATTGCTACAGTAAGGCAGTTGGAGGCTTGAAGCTTCAACCCTATCTAACAATTTATCATCCAATCACTAAATTTCAATTTTAAGAATTTCACGTACTAAATTTGAAGTGGGTTCCTCAAGATTAAAATTAGGGTTAAGGCCATTTATATTTGTATTATGAGGAAGGTGTCTATCTTAAAGTGTGACATAATGATCTCAAAAGTATATTATATGAAGAATAATGAGCCACGTTATCTCCTTTGTCTTTGGTATTTTAACCCTACAAGACAAAATACTGGCTGAGAATAAATTATTGTAATTAATGCTCATCGTATGCATAATATGGACTCATTTACAAAATGATAAAGCTATTTGTACGAACTTTTTACACAAAAAGAGTTTGTACAAACAGTAATACTACGTTTACCGAGTAAATTATCGATTTTCACATACCGATGTACTTGCCCAATTATCAAAATCTCAAATTTTAACTGCATCGGTATATGAAATCGGTAATTTACTCGGTAAACGTAGTATTACTGTTGTACAAAATAATATTACATTGAGTGTCATGTGACATGAAAGTCAACATAACATTAATGTGATATTAAGTTATGTGAGTCTTAATGTCATATAGTATGCTTTGTGATATATCACGCCAGTTTGTACAAATAACATTATCCGATAAAAAATTGTCTTAAAGCCTCATGACAACATACAAAAACTTATAATGTTTTAAAATAATAAACTATGATATAATAGTTGTTGGAGTTGTTGACTACTTCGCATTAATAGGTTATGCAAGCGCATTCAGGAGTGTTGCTGTCTGATCAGCGGGCGGGGGTAATGGGGCAGCGCCCCCAGGTTCGTAGGCAGTTTGTGTCTTTTTCATGTATAACCACTATAGGATTTCCTTAAGTCATTAATTCTTTATTGAGTTTAAACTTAGGAATATAAATCCTTGTAAAACCAGGTTTTGACACTTTAAACCTAGTATATAAACAAATTTTTCTCTTGTTCTGAGTGTGATAACAATTATAGGGCAATTCATTCATTGTAAACGAGAGAGGTGAGGAAATATTGCAATAATATTGACTCAACTAGACGTAACTCATATTAGGTGAATCAAGATAAATCGCGTATGTTATTTTCTTTTTATTTATTGTCTATAATTTATTTTATTGTTATATTGGTTTCGTTGTTGCTTCCATTTCGTTCAATAGTTAGGTTGATAATAAAAAGGCAGTGGTTAAGTATATGGGACTTTAGCGTCCATTGAATTAATTAATAATAATACAATGTGCGTAGTCAAGACTGTGATGTTAAATTAAAACTGAGAGATGGACGATACATGTTTTAGTCGGTATAATTTTCAAATTACGGTATCTACCTGAGAATGATTGACAAGACTATTACAAAGTTTTCCCATCGGCCATCACAAACCCTATATACCATTAATCAATTCTTTCACATTATCAGTCTTTCTATTGAAGAAGACAGGACTGCCCGCCTCAAACAAGAACCACTACCAATTAATTGCCTGCCTCTCTTGTCTACATAATTTTCTTACTTCCATCTACCTCTAGCTAACTCTTTCCATAATACATAACATAGTTAATATAATAATTGCATGCCCCTAATTAACTTCTTTCCATTAAACTTAATAAGAATATTGGATTAACTCACAAATAAAGTATCATTATGCATCAAGATTAACTTAAAAATGTTGACTTATGAGGAGTTAAAAAGCAAACTCTCACAAACTCTATTAACTTATTTCTATGAACGTTAATTGATTTATAATACCTTCCAGTTAAGGTGTATAAAAAGAGAATAATTGACTCTCATATACAAATTTGATCTAATAGTACGCACGGGCTGGGAATACTGGAATTGCAAAGTTTTATTAAAAAAAAAAAAAAAAAAAAAAAACCTGGAACCAGAACTTCACAAATCATCTTCTTCCACGATCTGCTGATAGCCACGAAAGAAACATAGAAGAAACGAAAATGTCCATTGTGAATGCGCTAACTAATACTAATTGGAGATCCATTAAAATTACTAAAAAGCAACCCTTGAGTGGATCAATTAGCTAGCTAATTTGTAACTCAGAATAATTGAATACTCACGAAGCACCCAAAGAAATTAAAACTGTATAATACAAACAACTCGCGTATTTATTTATGCATAGAAACAGTTATCCACAATTTCCATTATTTTTGTGTCACACCGCCAATATTATGTTATCTAACCCTATGTTCCATACTTGCGTACTGATATTCTTATTTCTATATATAATATTTATCCCAACACATATACCCCCAAATCATTTTCTTTCGCTCACTGTATACATACCGTATACTTAAATACTAAATACAAACGTATTAAAATATAGAAAGTCACATGCAGCCCTATACAGTACTTTATTTTCTCATCACACCATGAAAGTACTAGATATAAATTCCACCGTCCTCCACCCCAAATGAAGGGCTAGGACAATTCCGATTAAGAAGCTCCTCTATCATTTGCAGTGCGATTCTTTCCTCTTCATCCATCTCTGCCTTGAGTTCGGGCCCTGTTATCTCTTCGGACTGAGCGCCCAAAGGCAATACGTTTCCTGAAACATCATCTGCATTATTCTTCCCAAGCTGGACAGTCATGACCCAATTCGAGTCAGAGCGTTGACCTGCCCTCTTTTGCCATACTCCAATGTGAGAGTTCTCTGTGTCAAGCCTCAAACAAGTCATAGAAGGTGATGGTGCCTTGCTACATTTCCGAAGCTTGGCGTGCAGAAGTTCTGATAAATCATTTGGAGGTGCCGAGGTCGAACTTTGACTAGGTTTAGGGTCTCCGGTTGGAGTTTGTGTTACTGGGAAATTCGTTTTCGCATTTCGTCCACTCATTAAGATTGCAGCTTGATCGTAGGCTCTAGCAGCTTCTTCGGCTGTTTCGAATGTGCCCAGCCACACCCTTCTTTTCCTGTAAAATACGAGTGCAACAACAAACAAAAACTAAAAAAATTGAACTAAAAGGATAACATGCTTTGAACGAACAAGAATAATTTATAAGTTTATAGAGCAATGTAGATGCAGTTGATGGAGCTTACAATAGTGGGTGGCGAATCTCAGAAACCCAGGAACCCCAGTGACGCTGCCTGACACCTCTAAACTTCTTTGATTGCACCATTTTGAAGAGAGAGAGAGAGAGAAAACAAAGTACGAATACAAGAGGGCTCAGAAAGATACGCAGATGATGAATGAAGTACAGAATGGCTCAGAGATGATGAAGATATAGAGAGATGATGTGTGAAGGAGTTAATTGAAGGGGTTCTGTCGGCGAAGTAAGTCGTACATAGTGAGCCTTGTAATAAACGAAATCACCTACACCTTCCTTAAAAACACCCA